ATCTATCTATCTATCTATCTATCTATCTATCTATCTATCTATCTATCTATCTATCTATCTATCTATCTATCTATCTATCTACCTACCTACATGTATAATGTCTTACTCTTGCTCTCAACCCCGAATGCGTTTCTTTTCTTTAGTCCTTCTCCTCTAATGTTTACGCCTCCCAGGTTAATGTTTTTACTTCATTCTTATCTTTGTCCGATTCTAATTCAATACTTGAGGAGCTGCGTTTTCTTATGCGCCCGTCCCGCTGATACTGTTGGCTAAGAGACGATGATATTGCGTATTCTATCCTCTCAGTGCTGAGTGCTAGGAAAAAGAAGATGTTCAGGGAAATAAGAAATATGTGTTTGGTGTCAGAAACTTTAGAAAATACGTGCAAATGTATCGTAACTCCGTGTACACTTGAGCTTTCAGTTTTTAACTTAATAGAACCCAGTTGCGTCACTTTTTTTTGTAAAGTATTATGTTATATTTTTTGCAGAAATAATTTCTTGAACGCAGGGTGGCTGTTATCATTCTTTTCATTCTTTACTGTTGTTGTCGTTTTCAATATAATATATCTTTCACGCTAGTAATAATATACATATTTTTTATTCTGTTTCCCAGAGCTGAGCAGATGAGTCCCAGAAAGGTCAACGGTCTCCTGTGAGTGCTCGCCATGTCGGCCACAGTAGACTTGTCTCCCCTGAAGATGGAGACGCCGTCGCCCCACCCTTCCCCACACCGAGGCACTCCCCTGCGCTCCTCGTCTCTCGGCTCTCCGCGGGAGGAAGACGCCATGGCCCCGACGTCCTCGCCTGCTGGGACGTTCTCCAGTAGTATCATGGAGTTCGGTCGGGTGGACCCCTCTCCTGTCTACTCCACCAGCGGCTCAGACTCTGTCATGAGAAACGGGTTCAGACCCGTGATGGATAGCGAGATGTCCGGAGAACCGATGTCTGTCGATGATGATTCCCCACCCCCCTCACCTTCCCCTTCCGCGAAGGCAGGTCCAGAATCTGTGGAAACAGATCGCCCGTTAACCCCGCCTGCTACTTTTCCCGCCACCTCCAACAGCTACCTCTATGGAAACGCACCTGAGCCTGATGACGCCAGCAGGGACGTTTCTTCGCCCAGCTACAGGAGCCCGTCACTCCCTGACACCCGGCGGGCACAACACTCGCCTCTTGAGTCGGAAGAGTTCCCTCGCTCTCCAAGTCCCGACGTTAGGGAAGTGGAAAGGCCAGCAGAGAGCATGTCTTCTGACTGCATCCAATCAAAGCCTGACGACAGTGATGACGTCATCGATTGCTGTGATGATGACTCCTCCGCGAAGCCCACGTCAGAAGTCGAGCCTTCCAGACGAGGTTCCGGTGACAACGGTGACGTTTCCGACAAAGAGGAAGAGGACCAGATTGAGTGTGCTGAGTGCAGTGTTGTGTTTAGTAACTTGCAGAGGTACATGGACCACACGTGTTACCGCTCACACCCTGCCGCACCAGTCCCGCCCTCGCCTGCTGACCTGACTACGACTGTCTCGGGGAGGGCTGAACGTCACCCCGTCAAAACTCCTCCAATATCATCGCCCTACGACTTCAGGGACGAGCCCAAGTCTGACACGCGATGTTTCTATGGAAACATGGTGTACAATCCTGACGGCTCCGTGTATGTGATGGAGGCAGGCCGGAGTTCTTCAGATGGGGATATCGAGATGGCACGTCTGAACATTCCCTTGAGCGCTGACTCCATCCTGGTCAAACGACACCAGTCTGTCTTGTCTGTTGACCGATCGATACCTCAACTGACCACCGCCGTCTTCTTCCCTACCAACGGCCCGTCATCAGTGCTGAGTGCTTGCTTGGACAACCCTGACTCCTCCACTGACCCCCATAACGTGTCACAGTCCAGTCTGAGCTTCAAGGTTTTCTGCCTCCAGTCTGTACCAGCAGAACGGCTGCTCCATCATCTGGCATCCCACCCACGGCGCAGATTCCCTGCGAGGTCCGTACTCATGTGCTTTATATGTAAGCTTTTCTATGAGCTTCCCAAGACTTTTCTCAAACACGCAATGCTAGAACACTCTATACTTTTTAATGACAGCGAAAAGACTCTGATCGACTTGCCTAGCACCTCAGCCATCATCCATGCCGTGGGGAAAATGAAAGAGCCCATGGTGTCTGTTCTACAGCCGTGTGTGAGACACGAATCCCAGAGGATCGTAGATCGTACAGAGTCAGGGCCATATTCTTTTGTGTCTTCACGAGATGTAGTTCATCCGACTTTGAGTGTGAATTTAAACTATATGCCACCAGGAATAGAGGACAAAGACAGTTTAAACCACATCGGGATGTCGTCTTTTGATAGCGAGAGAAGAGCTTCATCAGACAGAGTTTCTTCCTACAAGCATTCTCCTCTATCTCTATCTCAAAGAGAAGAGCTTAGTTCTATCCAGCGATCTTCCACCCCTCTCAATATGAAAGGCAACAATTTTCTAAAAGAGAATTATTACAGGCCCTCTCCTCCCGTTCCTTCCCCGGGGGATAAGCCCCCCACGGGTCATTTCCTTCTTCCTCCTCACTCAATCGCCATGGATAATCCATCTGCTTTGGCCCTCCGGTCTTCGCCCTCACAACGAGTTTCATCCTCCCCAGCTGCCTCCACTACCTCAGGACCTCCTGATCCCTCTTTCTTGACATCGGCGCCGTCCTCTCTGAGCCATCTGGTCACGGCGTCATCTTTGGCGTCATCTGTTCGCGTCCTGCCCTCGTCCGCCCCGGCAAATTTGCCTCCTCTTCTGACTCTCCCCTCCTCAGCCCAGACCTCGCTACCTCCTCCCTTAGGTTTAACGCTGCCGAACTTCCTCGGGGGAACTTGTGATGAACATCCTCAGGGAAAAGCTCAAGGTGTGGAATGTCCAAAATGTGACATGATCCTCAGCTCCTCCCAGTCGCTCGGCGGCCACATGACCATGACCCACTCGAGGAACTCGTGCAAAACTCTCAAATGCCCCAAATGCAACTGGCATTACAAGTACCAGGAGACCCTGGAAATCCATATGAAGGAGAAGCACCCGGACAGCGACGCCCAATGTGTCTACTGTTTAACCAACCAGGCCCACCCGCGTCTGGCTAGAGGTGAGTCTTACTCGTGCGGCTACAAACCGTACCGGTGCGAAGTTTGCAACTACTCCACCACCACCAAAGGTAACCTCAGCATACACATGCAGTCGGACAAGCACATCAATAACATGCAGGATCTAGCCAATGGCAGCGCGGAGCTGAAAATGACAGCGCAGCAGCCAACCACGGCGCAGTCTCTCCCGCCCAGCGCCCCGCCCCCGATCCCACCCACCAACGTCCCACCCAGTTCTTACTCACAAGAGGACCAGCAGTACAAGAAGCTCAAACAGAAGCAGTCGTTCCGCTGTGACGTGTGCAGCTACGAGACGTCCGTGGCGAGGAACTTGCGGATCCACATGACCAGCGAGAAGCACACACACAACATGCTGGTCATGTCACAGAGCATCAGCCACTTACACCAGGACATGACGCTCCACCAGATGTCGCAGATGAACCAACTGCTCGCCCTCAACCAGCAGGACCACGCGGCTAGATTCGCCGCCATGGGTGCGCACATTCCCGGGAACCTCTTCTACGAGCAAGCGGCCATGCTCATGTCGGCAGCAGCTTCTAACGTCCCTCCCCCGCCCCACCCTCCACACCATCCACCGCCTCCCCACTCGGCTCCAGGTTTTGAGATCCCGATGAACTTGACCAAAGAAAACGGGTTCGACGACGGTTGTGGTGGTCCCTCCAACAACAAGGACGCCAGCAAGATGTTCCAGTGCGCAGTGTGCAACAAGTACAGCTCTGACAGCATGGAAAACGTGCACAACCACATCCAGTACGACCGCACCAAGAACGGAAACCCAGATGCCCACGTCACCTTCTCCAACGGCACCTATCACTGCAATCTCTGCAGCTACAAGACGCACCTCAAAGCCAACTTCCAGCTACATTGTAAAACAGACAAGCATCTCCAGAAGCTACAGCTGATCAACCACATTCAGGAAGGGGGGTTGGAGAACGAGTGGCGACTCACCTACCCCGGATCCCCAATGCAGATCTGCTGCAACGCGTGCAGTTTCTACGCCAACTCCACCCACAAGATGCAGCTCCATGCCAGCACAATCCAGCACGAGTCCTGCGCCCAGTTGTTCCGACACCTGCAGCTCCTTGACCGCGCCACGCCCCCTGCCGGCCCTGGGCGCCAGAGGTTCTACCAGTGCACGCTGTGTCCGGCCAACGTGAGGACAAAGCAGAGGCTGGTGCTGCACTCACGGTCACCCCAGCACGTGAGGAAGGAGCAGCTGATGCTCCAAGGACAGGTGTCCATCTTTGACGTCTACGTCATCAAAGAGATGACCGACGGAGACAACGTGGACTTTGAGGAGGAGGGTAAGTTTGTCTCTCTTTCTATGTCTCTCTCTCTCCAATCTCTCTCTTTCTGTTCTCTCCCCCCCCCTCTCTCTCTCTCTCTCTTTCTCTCTCTTTCTCTCTCTCTTTCTCTCTCTCTCACTCTCTCTCTCTCTCT